TTTTTTTTTTTTTTGAATCTACAGGGGACCAGGGTCCCAACTGGTATAGCTTCCAGAGCCATCAAGGTACACAAACCTTCCCATCAGAAGAAAAAAATCTTTTTCAAAACACAAGAAAGATGTGACTGAAATAAAAAAAAAATGGTAATGGGTTGACTGTGTTATTTAAGCAATAGAAAATATTTCCGTGTTTGCTTAGCCTGATTAAACACAAGAGGGGTTGGGAGAATTCGAGACAGTTTTGCAAACCTGAGATGAAGTCGAGGGTTTGCATAACTGTCGAGATTTCTTCCAACCCCTCGAGTGTTTGTATTAGGCTATGCAAACACAGGAAAAAAGTTTTCTATTGCTTTTATAAAATAGCTTTCCCGAGAAAAAACGCAAAACTCTTTGTTATGGCACTGATTAAAAGAGAAATTCTTACCAGTCGCAAAGTCTTGTACACAAAGTCTTGCATGCGTAATCAGTTCTTGTTTTGCAAAAAGATGCTATTCAAAATACGGATTTTTCTCGCTTAAACTGTCAGCTTAAGCGAAAAAAAATTGACATTCCTTCTTTGTAACGATTTTCCAAGTTTCAGCCAGTGGAGGAATGGGTAAACAAAGTAAACTTGTCAAGTTTTGAACTCAAAAACCTTTTCAAATTCATGCTTGCGTGATGAGCACGTGAAAAGCAAAACAGCTTGACGCCACAGCCATGTTTACATACTCTCACGTAAACACTCCTCTCGGCCAATCAGAGCTCGCATACAATCTTAGTTATTTTATAAATTAACGTGTAGCTCACCAAGGGGCTGTGGTTACCTTTGCTTTATTCTTTTAGGGGCTGGAGGGGCTACATTATGAATTTTTGGTCGGGACTCAAGTAGTATCCTTAGCTTATACTAATAGTATTTCTTGTACTAACATGTTTTTTCCCCATTTTGCTACCCTATTTTAGTAAAATCCAACTAGTGGTCTATTATCAATGCTGCTTTCTGACTAGTTGAGCTACTACTAGCCCCCTAGTAGCGAAAAGCGCAGGCTTTTTGGCGGCAAAAAAGGATTAAAGTCTATCTTTAACTAGCTAAAATTTTTTTATTCTCGATATTTTTGACCAGCTAGTTGGATTTTACTAAAACAATATTATTATTCCTCTCGCCCTTATGATGGGCTCCTGCTCTGAGTCAATAGCCCATTCGGCCTTCGGCTTTGTGGGTTATTGACTCAGAACCCATTCGGGCTCGAGGAATAGTTGTTAAATAGACTAGGCACCAAAATTCCTACCCAGTTCTAGACTAACTATAAAGAAACTTGAATTATTCATACATGTTTCCCTATTTTAGAGCAAGGTCCTCTGATTTCTATACCCTTTAACCAATAAAACTCCTTGTGAACCAACCATGTGCGAGTAGTAGGCATTCAAGCAAAGGAAAAAGGCCATTGAAAGATAGTTGCCATGTGTATTTAAAATTATTCATTGAGTGAAATCAATATTACACACAGGGGTAGTCAATATCAAATATGTAGCATCACTTTTCAGTATTGTCTGCCAATAACCTTTATAACCTGCCCAGTTTGTAATAATTATTTGTTACATCAAACGTGACGAATATGTTCTATTTGTATGATCTGTGAGCGAATCATTTTAAACGGTTAAGACACACTCGTTTCCAGTCCCCCGAAGCAGGGCGGAAGTACGTGAACCGTCTTTTCACAAATGAGTAAAACTAAATAAAATGTAGGTATGGCAGGAACTCCTTTGGAAACGTTTTTGGTGGACTTGGACGAAACAAGAGGAAAACTTCCCTGCTGCCAGGAAATTTCTCTTATTCAGCGGCGTGTAAGAAAAGTTATAAAGGCCATGTTACTGGAAGTTCGGAGAGAAAATCCCTTCTTCATGACAACGCTTATCAACAGTGGCAGCTTTTACGAAGGAACTAAAGTGGGAAAGCCTGACGAGTTCGACTTTTTCATACAGCTTGATGCTTTCTCTTTTCCAGAAGATGTTCATTTTGACGAACTTCTTTGTTCTACTGTGTGGGTGTTCCCAAGCGAATCAGCCTGTGAGAATGTGAGGTTTGCATTCACAGAACTCTGTGATTTTCAGTGGAAGAAAACCATCAAGACGCCATTCTTCAACATTTTCAACAGCAAAGCCGAAAACTTTGAGGCATATGGGATGAAGGTTGTAACCAAAACACAATCTGTTTTATTAAGACACGGACCAGCGTATACTTTATTGTTGCAATGGAATGGTGGAGAATCGGATCTTTACAAAGGAATGGAAATCAGTGTAGATTTAACATTAGCCGTAAGGATAAACTCTACATCACGCAAGGTTGATTTGAAGTTTGATTCCCCAAGCGGTCGAGTACTGAAGTCAGCTCTGGACAGTCTGCCATATTTCTTAGCTGTTGGCTCCTACAGGGATCCTCTTTCTGAAGAACACCCAGACTACTTTAAGAAGGCAGAGGAACAGTGCCCTGGATTGCGGCCGATTAATTTCATACTGCGCTGTTCACAATCGTCTTTTGAGCAGTTGCTGTTTGTTCAAGAATTTGGCTCTGACAGCGGTCAAAGCAAATGCCTCAGGTTACTGAAAGTGTTGCGTGACATGATGTTTCCTGATAGCGTAGTAGGCCTAACAGAATTAGACACGATTTTGATCCTCACAATAGTCGAGTCTTCAAGTAAAGCTGGCAAATTAATTTCCTCTTACGTCCTCAAGACTCTAGTGTTGTATGAATGGCAGAAAAATACAGACGCTGAGTTGTGGAGCGGAAGTAACCTGACTCAGCGCTTGATCAGCATTCTTCAAGATCTGATGGGACGCTTGAAAGACAAAAAACTGACAAGCTTCTTTTATTCTGACTATAACTTGTTTGAGAAGAATTCTCGTGACGTGGATTTTTCAAATGCTGTCGCCATTATTCAAATACTTGTAGATCGGCTGGTATCTTTCAAAAACGTGCCAGAGTACAAGTTTGAAGAGTGCTTAAAGAAAATCGCCCAAGACTCAGTGATAGTCTGTCGAAAGGAGAAGTTAACTACTTTTTTGTCCTGTGGATTGCGCCATACCTCCTCTGATTATGATATACTTCAAAAGGTAATTGAAAAGTCACTGATAAACCAGGGGAAGGGAGAAATTTATGAGTCGCGTGAAAGTACATGTAAGAATAGACATCCACTGGAGGGTCTGGAGGGACTACACCGATTTCAAGTGGAGGGTGAAGAACGTACACAATTTGTGGAAATTTACATTGAAGCTTTCTTAGATCATATTGCTCCCGAGGAAACCTTGGCTTTTACAAATATCAAGGTCAAGGCTCTTGAATCTTTAAGCTGCGCGGTGAAACAATTTAAAGACATAGCGCGTCGGAGAATGGCTGGACGCGATTATTTACCCAGCTACACACTTTGGAGCCAGGAACACTGGACAATCGAACAGCCAATTTACAAGTTGACATCTGATGAGCCAAAAAAATTACTCGCATTACTCTTCAAAATGTTTCGGGAAGACATCAAAGTGCTTCACGATAAGTTGCATGGTTGTTAAATGCGGTATTTTTGAAGTTGGCGTGACTGGGAGGGTATAAACCCTCTCTCCGGACGGGACAACTTTTCTCCATGTAAACGGGACCTAAAAGAAACATATTACAGCGGTTACCACTAACACGCGCCCGTGAATGGTTTTTTCTCTCTGTTGAAACCTGCGTTTTCGTGAACGTCAACTGTGCCGATGGTTTTTTCATGTGCTCTGACAGAGACGGTTCCCTCCTCGTTGATTGAACATGAAGGGAAGGGCGAAGACTTACTAGAATAGTTTCGAATCTCTCTCCTCTGAAGAGGCCTCTTTTTGTTGTAGAGAGGCTGGGGAGAAAGAAAACGAGCATCCTCCGCGCGCTTTCTATTTTTCGATTATTGCTATTTTTATGAGGATACCCAGCGGGAGCCTCTGTGGAGGAGAGAGGTTTCGAAGGACGACAGCGTTTTTAAATTTATTTATTTCATTAAGAAAGATTATATTGTTAAAACAACGAGGTCTCTGCGAGCCGAGTGAAATAACCGAAATACTCTCTATAGTTAACGTGGAGGTTTCACGGGTTGTTTATTGCTCCCGCATGGATTTCGTCCAGAAGGCGAAATCCCGAGGAGGCACTCTAGTAACTCGCCCGTATATTAAGGAAAGTACTTACAGTTGAAATATACAGTCATACAGTCAATATAGAAAAAATCTCGATTCGCTTGAACAGGGGCCGAGAGGAATCGGTAGGTAATGATGACGTTTCTATTCTTATGGTTTAGAATAAACTATTCTCGAAACTGAGAATGTTTTGATCAAAACTGTGTAAATCGAATTAAAACTGTGCATGGAACATTACGTTTCCTGTATTTATCTCACCAATTGTATGGAATTTGTGTGAAAATCTTCATTATGAATCGGTATATTTCAAAGAGCTACACAATTAACGAGCAAGAATACTATTGACCGACGATATACAGAGAGGGGGTAGCTTAAGTGTCAACTATTACTAGTTTATTTGATTGTGTGAAAACACGGGAGTCGAATAGACGAATAGACCTTTCCCGCATTCCGCTCCAGTGAGCAAACAAAAAAATGAGGACGAGGCTCGGTTGGACAATTTCATACAAATCACTGTATTTTGTCCAGCCAAGCCTCGACTTGAAACCTTTGTGTACAGGAATGCGGGAAAGGTCTATTGCCAAGGAGCATAAATTCAAAGGAACGAAAGATATCACACCGACAAGGGACAAAGGTTTCGTCTGAACAGAGGCTGTTTTCGAAAATAAATTTTGTAACTTGCAAATCTCCTTCTCATTCTTCATGTTATCGAATAGAATCCTAAAATTTCCAAACCTCAGACGAGTTGCGGGCGTGTATTGAGAAAGCTTACATGTATGTGGTTGTAACTTACAGTGTTTAAATAAGTCGATAATTTGAATTTCCTCCGACAAACACTCAACAATTTCGTACTCCCCGTAATCTTGACATGATGTGGTGTCAGAGCCTGTAGCAAAATATTGCAAAAACAGCTTAAACGCTGGCATGTTCCTCCGAGTGCTCGAGAAACGGGGAAAGCCATGGTAAAGGTTAATTGACGTCCACCAAACCGCAGGTTTGAACCGAACAAAAAATCTTTGAGGGCGCCTCTTAGTGGTAACCGCTAAGGTAATAGCATGATTTTTAGTGATATTTGGCATAAATACCACGAGTGATATTTCGAAATTGTTATACGTAATTTCACGGTCTAGTTTCCAGCCGCGGTAGGTGGGAAGAAAGGCTGAGCTGTTCCAAATTGAAGTAAGGGTTCCTATTTGATTCAGACAATTCACTTTCTATGTACTTAATTCAATGTATTAGCTCCGGTTCAAGAAAGCCGGGCCTTAGAGTTGAAGAGCAATGCCAAAATCATCGTGAGACGACGGCTCCGTGTTTCTCACACCGCAAAATTCCGAAAATAAGCTTCTCCATTAAGGCCAAGAGACGCAAATATAAATATATTGTATGCTTTATTTCGAGTTATTGATCAAACGGTTTTACATTGACCACGGGCCCATCTGGTCTGCACGGGTTCTAAGCCAATCAGAACACAGGATTCGTTTTATCTTGACCACTCGCTATTAAGATTTTTTTTGAAACACGTGAAAAAGGGCCAAAAGGCTGCTCCCTATAAGCTCGAAAATCACGATAGCGAAGAAAAAGGAAAGGAGAAAAAGAAAGAGTGTGAAGGGAAAAAGGAGGAAAAGAGAAAAAGCAGCGGTTGCACTCTTATTGGCTACTTTGGAGAGAGTTTTTGGCCGAAAAAGCTGTTTGACGGAAAGGGTCTATTTGGCAGTAACGTTTTCAAAAATCCGGCTGGTACATAAATACCATATCCAATGTATAATAATATGTATATGTAGCCGGATTTATGAAAACCGAACCAGCGGGCTCCTCGAGGCCACACAACTTAAACTGACTCAACTAAAGTAAATATAGTAAAAAAAAACTGAACCCTTATCCATGGGCCTTCTTAGGTGACTCTCTTCTTGGTTCCTGATTAGCAAAGAACCAGGTTCCTGTGCGAATATTCTGGGCCCTTTTGAGACATGTTTTCAAAAATTGGGCTAGATATACATAGTATGGTTATGCATAGATGGAGTCAGTCTGCCTATTTAGGTATGCTTCAGAGGTCTTAAATAAAAAAATTAATAAAATGCAATTTCAGTTATTATTTTTGACATGTGCCTGACATTTGTGAAGTACGTGTATGAAGTCGGCAATGAGCTGCAAATGACAAGATGCTTCCGCAGCTCTGTTTCGCGGAGTTTCACAGTAGCCAACTTATACAAAAGAAATTCAGTTGTCAGCCTTCATAACCATAGTACTTCATTAACTACATTGTACTTGTATTTTAATCAACTGCGCGCAACTCTTGGCAACAACACTCCCTGCTGTCAACATTCACAACTGACTCAACCAAGAGCCAATCAGAATTTTGAATACTCTGACGACAGGGTTGATTAAATAAAAAGAAAAAGAAAAGCGACCACACTAGAATGATTTTATAGTGTCGTAACAAGCGAAAAAATTTCCCTTCTGACTGATCAAAAGCCATGCTTTGATTATTGATAGTGGCAACATGGAAAGTTCAGAACATGAGTCTACACAACTTGATGTTGCTCGACCGAACCAAAGGGACGACGGATCAAAATCAGCAGAATCTTCTTCTGAAAATGCACCGGCTGCCGAGTCCCTGTCGCCTTTAGATTACTTCATACGAGACCTGGATGAACGAAAAGGCAAGCTACCTTGTTGTCAAGAATATGTTCAAGAAGTCACTGACATTCAGACCAGTGTTGAAAATTTTCTTAAAGCTCTTCTTTTGGAAATAGAGAAAGACCTTCCTTTCTTCAAAACAACACTTATTAGCCGCGGAAGCTTTTACGAGGGAACGAAAGTCGGAAAACCCGACGAGTTCGACTATTTTGTTCAGATGGATAACTTGTCTCAAGACATTCGCTTTGAGGAGTTGAAACATGGTATGGTGGCAGTGATTCCAAGCGAATTAGCTTTCGAAAAGCTTCCAAAGGTAAAACGTAGCCTTTATTCCTTTGACTGGAAAGTAAATATAATGTCGCCGTTTGTTGAAGCATTGCACAGTAAGTTAGTCAAAGGGTTTAAAGCGTTCGGTCTGAAAGTCCTTTCAGGTGGAATGGGAAGTCTGGAAAGATATGGGCCTGCTTACAATTTACACCTCAAATGGACCGGAGGGGAACTATACAAAGGACTAATTATCGCCGTTGATTTGGTTTTAGCGGTGAAGATTAGAGCGGTTTTCACTTGACTGTCGAAAGGGATTGGTTTTGGTTTTGGTTTTGATTTTACTACCCCCTTTGGTTGGCTAGTGTATTTACTTTGGTTTTGGTTTTACGACAGTCAAGTGAAAACCGCTCTAACTCTCATTCTTCAACTATGAAAGTGGATCTTGAATCTCAAGCAGGACGCGTTGTGTCGTCTTTGTTAATAGATACTTTGCCATACTATTTCGCAGTGAGTGGATACAAGAATTACCCAGTTCCATCATCACACTTGTTCAAAGAATTTAAGGGAGAGCAGGAAAAAAGAGTCTTGAGATTTCCAGCACCTGAACCAACAACAGCCTGAGAGAATGTCATTGCCTTTTACGTATTTCTCAGTAATGTCTTGAACAGTCACTGTTCCGTGACCATTTTGGTCCTGATGGTGGACCAAGTGTCTGTCTCAGGGTGCTCAAGGTATTGCGTCACATGACTTGTTCACTTGATCAGTATTGGCCGGGCCGATACACCTATGATAAAGGAGAATCCATTGACGAGAAAGTACGGAAATATATTAATAATGATAAAGAAATTAATAATTCTGACGGGCATACAAAAATGCCCTCTTTGTGTGGTGTTACACAACCATGGCCAGATCTGGACAGTAGTAACAATTATATTTCTTCATACGTCCTCAAAACTCTTGTTTTGTTTGAATGGCGTAAAAGCCCATAAGAAAAGCAGTGGACTGGGAGCAACCTCAGTCAGCGTATTGTGAACATAGTTTCTACTCTCGTAAGAATCCTTAAGCAACTGAACAAAGGGATAAGAAGCTTTTGGTACAAAGACTACAATGTTTTTCCAAATCGTAACGACAGAGGCCTTCGGCCAGGAGCCATCAACAGAGTGAGCATCTTTCTTCAATGTTTATCATCCTTACAAACTGCCAGCAAATATTGTTTTGAGGATTGTGTTCAAACTCTTACAAATTTACTGACGGTGGCTCGCTATAAGACGAAATTGACAATATTTTTGCACAGTGCACTGGAAGATATTTTCGGTGATAAGATTACAAAGGTTCTGGAAGAAACCGTTGGTAAGACAAAAAAGCCGGAAGAAAGTCCCCCTATTCCAAAAGGTCCTTATTGGATGAGATTGATGATGAATTTACAAACGTCAGAAATTGTTGATACAGACTTTATGTGTGCGCCATCCGTTTTCTGTAGTATCTACATTCAAGCTCTTCTTGAAAAG